TAGACAAACCGAAGGTTATTCTGGAAGTGACCTTACTGCGCTTGCTCGCGATGCAGCACTGGGACCTATCCGAGGTGAGAAACGACGTCAGTAGTTATTTTGTGCTAATCTTTGATTGGACGATGCACGTCATGAATGTGATTAATATGGTCTTTTTGTTTTTCAGACCTTCGTCCTGATCAAATACAGTCTGTCGATGCATCTAAGGTGGATCATTACTATTAAATCTTACATTTTTTGTTAACAAAAACGAAGAGTACCTTAAAGGTACGGAAAAATGGGCAACAAAAAACGTACAACTTGTTTTGCAACATTGCGGCAAACGAGTTGAATAGCGTTGCGCGTTATAAAACCTGTCTTGCAACAAATCGGGTTGTTTACAGGTTTGAACATGGGTGGTAAAAGGCGCAACATCGCTATTGAACTCGTTTTGCAGCAATGTTGCAAGACAAGTTGCACGTTTTTGTTGCCCGTTTTTCGGTACCTTCCGGAATCCGGAATCCGGAAAAAAATTGGAATCCGGAATCCTGGGTTTTGGAATCCTGAATTTAAGTAAGAAAATCCGGAATCCCACTAACGACTGGAATTCCGAATCCAAGTTCTACTGACAAATCCGGAATCCACAGCGTGGAAGCCAGAATCCAAGACTGTCTTGGATTCCCTTACGCAGGGCGAGACCAGTAGAAAAGGTTTAATTTAGAAGTCTTGCTTACTGATGTTATCAGTAAAATCAGCAAAAATGATGGGGCCATGCAAATAAACATACTATTTGTGGACCCGGTCTGTGATTCGTTCCCCTTTTTTCATGAGAACGGTAGAGTCTCAGTCCGGTACGAAAGTAACTCGCGTCGGGTCAGCGACCGCGACGATGTCAGACCGGTCTGAGTTCATTTTCAGGCCGGTCCCATGTGAACGCATGAAAAAGAAATGTGTGGTGACCAATACGAACTCATGCCGGTCTCAGTTCGTCCGGGTCTCAAGAATCAGTCGCCTACTGTGACCGAGATGGCATTTGCAGTTACTATATTAACAAGACACTCTTTCACTGGTAAACTGTTGGTTCTTTTAGGTGCGGAACATCCAATACAACGACTTTAGGAACTCTTTGAAAGTTGTTCGACCCAGTCTTTCGCCGCATTCTCTAAAATTCTTCGAGGAATGGAACAGTCTCTATGGTAGCAGTGCTTAAGAATGGAGCTATCGACCAGAAAAAATGGTGAACATGGCTTGATATTGAAAAATATCGTCATTAAGTTATTAACTCCCACTGATGAAAGAGTTTTAGCTATCGAGCAGAGAGAGAAAGGCTTAGAAGACAAATTTGAAGAGATGCCTTTCATGATCTTTCATGCTAAACGCCTTGGAGTTTAACTGTATTAGCAGTTTCTTACGTCTGCTGCGTGGTGAACTTATTACAACCCCGTCATAGTATAGTACACGAGGGAAGCAAGGGATGGGGTACCCCGCCCCAGTTCCCTTTTGGCTCTCTCAGTCCAAGCCTGCATTTTATTTGGATGGTGGGGGTCGGGGATGGGTGCACAAGCATAAGAATTCACCTTTTAGCCTTATGCCCTCCGTCTTTGATCACAGCTTTTAGCTCTCTTCCTTCCTCTGGGAACAAAACCTAAAGTCTCAATCGTAAACATAAAAACTTGAGTGTCGATCGTTCACCTTAATATTATGCCTGCCTGCACTGCATGCTGCAGTAGTTCGTCTCCTATACACAGACGTTCTCTGTGTTGTCCCGCAACGCTCTTCCCCAAGAGTCATCCGTTAAAGACTACAGGTTAGTTCTTCATTCTCACCGTACGTTCTTGTACAGTTTAACCAAGTGACTTAAGTCATAGAAGGCTACTATTGTGAAAGTGACAACTAACACGTAGATTTGAAAGGTACTGTGGAAGAATTATTGAAAAGACTGGTTTTAATTATGTCATGTAATTGAGGCACACCAGATTAATGTGCCAGCAAGGAAAGAAATCAGCGTTCTCGGTTATTCGCGGATTTGATTCTATTGAACTCCTCAATTAATCTCCCGCTCAAGATTTAAAATGAAACGGGTAGTACAAAAATGAAGACTTTGGGTTGGTCCTAAAAGTTATCGCAAATTGTTAATAAATTAAGATTGTTTTACAAATCATCATAGTTACCTCAGTTTCCGTAGCTAGTTCTCAGCGCGTACTCAACATGTGGGGCGGAAAACTGCGCTTACAGCTCTCCTGACCCTAAAAGCCAATTGGTTTGCTACCCTGACCGTAAAACAATGGAACAATGGTAAACATTGTTGCGTTAGTGTTTTCTGCGACCAATGAGGAGACACCTTACGAGCAGCTGCTACAGTACTGACTAAAGAGGGAATGCGCTACCCTGGGAATCAGAGATGTTGCGCGTGGTTTCTTCTTTCTAAGGAATGGTTAAAGGTTATGCAACCGACACCGAAGCGTCAGGCCGCACGCGATAGAAAATCTCTGGTTCTCAGGGTAGACCTACGCGCTGTTTGGAGAAGTAAATCCCTAAACTGTACTAGCATATCAGGGTTTTCAATAAGGGCGTGTCCCTTGCTGATCTCTTTAAAACTCTTTATTTTCATACAGTTTTAATGTTTACAATTTTTAGATTCTCAAAAAGCGGTCATAATACAATGTTACTGCACATCTTCATTCCTCTTTTAGTGTAAAAGTATTTGTAATGTTTAAAGCTGCAGCTAATGTTGGAGCATTCTGCCTGGTACATTGACATTTCGTGACAACTGCAACCGAGGAAAAACATAGCAAGGGCCGAATGGAAAAATGGTTAGGGGCTGGGTGGTTTGGGAGTGGGAGGGTCCCATTCAGACCTCTTGTTCTTCTTTTGTATCCTTCCCCTTACTCGTCCCCAGTCGTCTCTCACTATCTCTCCCTAGTGGCGAACGGGGTGTGATGGGAAGGAGGAAAGCGAGGGAGAGAGACGACTTGGAAATCCTGTGTCGAATTTTCCCTTCCCATCACCCCCTGCGCGCGCTGAACGCGTTACGCGAAGACGACTAGGGACTAGGGACGGGTCAGCTCCATCTCTACTAAGCGAGAGTGGCTGTAACTACCTTTTTGCAAAGTGAAGCCAATTTCCTGTTAACCCTTTAACTCTTGGGAGTGACCAATATCAATTTTCTCCTAACTACATCGATGTATCATAAAGAGCGAAGGATATGAGAATTACTAAAATGATCACCAAGGATTGATCTTTTATCAAATTGTTAAAGGCAATGTATCATGATCACTCAAAAGAATTTGTATGTGGGTATTTGGGCTTTGAGGGTTAATGCAGGCATGACTTAAATCCTCCATTAGACATCTGGAAATCATCCAGTGGACCATCTCTCAGTGAAATTAAATACGCACGGAAATGAACTAGTGACAAGGTCATGTCAAAGAGGAAGAGAGGATTAAAA